TAATAATAATAATAATAATAATAATAATAATAATAATAATAATAATAATAATAATAATAATAATAATAATAATAATAATAATAATAATATAACAATAATAATAATAATAATAACAAATACAAAAACAATAACAATAACAATAACTAGAAGCACTCAGAGAGAACATACCTTCACCAAGGCAATGGAGTCACTGATACAATAAAAATATCTACACAACGAACTACATTATAATAGCTTCTTTCTCAAGTACACTAGAGACGTCCATGTTTCCCTATTTCGCAATGCACAAGAATCCTTAAAAAAAAAAAATGCACCAAAATTTAATTGCATCTAAACTAGGCTAAGACATACCTCTGATGAAGATTTCAAAAAACTATGTTCATAACTTTTTGAGTTATCCTGTGCAGGATCCAGTCCATAATCTAGATCATCAACAAAATTTAATGGCATCTAAGTTGGGCTAAGACACATCTACGGTACAAATTTCATTAAAATCTGTTTATAGTTTTTTGAGTTATCCTACCACCCTTTTAACCAACTAAACCAAAACATAACCTCCTTGGCAGAGGTAACAATAACATTAATGATAATGACAATGATAATGTTAATCGTAATGAAAATAACTACAATAATGACAATAACAATTCTAATAACAATGACAATAATGATGATGATGATGATGATTATGATTCAATAAAATAATGATCACTATCATTATTATCATCATTACAATAATGTTAATTTAAAGACAATAACATAAACTATCATAATAATTATATAAATCATAACAACTATAGCAATTACATTACTAAGGATGATAATGACAATGACGACGATGACGATGACGATAACAATGACAATGATGATGATGATGATGATGATAACATTATTAATACTACCATTCTTATCATCATCATTATCAATACTAATACCAGTAATGCTATTACTATCAATATTAATTCAAGTAACAATAATAATATGAATATGAATGTTAATATCAACAACAATGATAAAAAACAACAATGATAAAAAACAACAATGATAAAAAACAACAACCATGATAACCATGTAGCCGCTTCGAGCAATTGTCACCTGAACGTCTGTCAAGGTTAATTCTCATTGAAGAAAAAAAAAAAAAATCTTTATCTAAATCTCATGAAAGCAAAACACTTCTCTTGGAGCATTTGATATCATTTCACTGTACGTATAATCAGCACCAACAAATATAAATACTGATATTTGAAAGCAATCAGATTCTATAAATCTTTCTTTTTTTTGTTGTTATTGCTAAGGACTGCTATGGATTTCACTTGATCAATTATTCAATATAAAAAATTGTGTTTCTACTTCTGAGTTTGCCTATCTGCTAGCCTGCTATACAGTCCTAAATCTGTTTCACCATCTATATTCCTCTTTGTCTGTCTGTTTGTTTGTTTGGACAGACAAAGACACACATACATAGACATGGACATAGACAAAAACACAAACAGACACAGACACAGACACAGACGCACGCACGCACGCACACGCGCATGCACACACGCACATGCACACTCACACGCACACGCACACACACACTAACAGTGATAGACTGACGTCATCTTATCAAGGAAATACATCTCCAAGTCAAAATCTCACTATGTGATAAGCAAAATTATAATCTCAATAACCTCTGACAGAAAAGTGCATATAAATTTTGTTACTTCAGTAATTTTCCTTATCTATTATAATTACTGATATTAATCATCAGCATTATCATTATTGCTGCCGTTATTGTTGTTGTTGTCATTATTGTCATTTATCATTATTACTAAAATTAACATTAACATCAACATCACTATCATCATTACCATTACTATCATTGTTTTAATAATATTGTTACCTATATTATCCTCACATTAATACCTATCTACATCATCCTCACATTACTACCATTATGACTATTACTATCATTACTATTACCATAATTAGTCATATCATTATTGCCACTATTCTTTTTATCAGTAGCATTATCCTTATTTTCAATTATTTATCATCTTTATCTTTGTCATTATCACTATTAACATCACTATTACCAACTCCAATGTTACCACTGTTATTTTTACCATTGTCATTCTCTTTATCATTATTATTAACACAATTATCATTAGTAATTCCATTAGTATTAACATCTTTTGTTACTATTAGCAGTATCCTAATCACCATCATTATCATCATTAATACTATTATCATTGTCATTGTTGTTATCATCACTATTATTTTTGTTATCATTATCATTATTATGATCATTATTATCACCATTAAATCATTATTACCTTTTCTATCTATTATATTAGTATTTCCATCATTTTATCATTACATTATTATTATTGCCATTATCATCATCATCATTGTATTTATATCTTTTTTATTATTACACCATCAATATTATTACCATTATCATCATTGTCATTGTCATTATCATTATCACTATCTTCTTCATCATTATTGTCATTATCATTATCACTATTACTATTATCACCATCATCATTACTGCTACACTTATTGGTATTCTACTTAGTACCAACAGTAGTAATAGTTGTAGTAACATCTTCATTATAATTATCATTAAAATCATTATCATTATCATTTCCATTATCATTATCATTATCATTACCATCACCATAAACACAATGATCATGATAATCATTGCTATTTTTATCATTAGTATCATTATATTATAATAATTAACATTATGATCAATGGCATTCTTATCACCACCCTCCTATCTCTCACTTATTATTATCATTAACACTACACTCTGACTTCAATCATTATCACTGTTATCATCATACATGCACTGAACTCAAATCATGCAACTAAATCATATATATTTGTTTCAAAGATAAATACGGAACAAATATATTTACAACATTAAAACGAAAATTATCATCTCAAATAAATTTAATCTGATAACTTCTTTCTAAATAGCCATAAATTGTATACATTTCACACATCCTTTCTCCAGTAGCCTTGGTCTCCACAACACAATGGAATGTTTTCAGCCAAGGAGTATTCTTGAGATGACCTTGAGAGGGCAAAACACAATAGCTGTTATCATGCTAAAGGAAGTGTTAAACCTTCCTACCTCCCTGACAGGTGTATTTTCTTTCAGCTAAGTAATGATCATGAATATCTTTGTTGGGACATTATTAGGCACTGGCTGGTTCAGTTATTCATTTACAAACCGTGTGGAGCATTAAATCAATTACTGACATGTAAATTTAGGACAGACTACTCTCAGACTGGTAGTTCACAAACGATACATCTCAATGAACCACACAATTTTTTACTGTAAATTTCTAAGCACACTGCACATACACCATACAATTTCAAATCAAACCACTGACACCAAGTACACATCACTGTGGTTTTAATTTGTGAATCTTATTTATAAAAAGATAACCCCACAAGCACTCAACATTAACCAGTTATTTAGTAAGCCTACTTAACCTCATCAGATTACCCTTCCCTTGATTTTTTGGGGGGATAAGATTCTTCCCTAATACTACTATCATCATTACTATGGATAACATTCTTTACATTATGATAATTATAGTGGTATTAACAATACTGGTGTTATTTTTTTTTCTAAAATCATAACGAAGAGTAAACAAATCATGCGAGATCAGGTAACCACTCCTTAGTGACTCAGCACCACTGGAGCCATCTATGTGTTAACAAGATTAATAAACTAAAACCCAGCACAGCAAAGCAATGACACACTATTATAATAAAAGTTAGATCTACCTTGAGTAGTACATTCTTAGTGCTTCATATTCATTCACTGTTGACTATGTAGTAAATGTATGTCTTAAATTGAAAATAAAAAATAATTTCATTCTTTAACAATAGATATTAAAACTACTATATTTATAAAAAAAAATCAGAAAATGTTCAGAAGAACTTGCAGTAGTCTGCAATGGATGGCTTGCAGTCTAAAGTCTGACACTATAAGCTCCAGACTTCCTCCTCCAGAAATGCCCACAAACCTCCACTACATACAAAATATTCAAGCAAGATGGAGCTTGAAATGATGGGGTCTGGAGATTCATTATTTGATGACACATCATCTGGGAGGTCTGAAACATGTACCCTGACAGAATATGCCTAAATAGTTATCTTCCAAATAATTTAGTTATCTTCCAAATAATTTCCTGCACAGAGAAATAATATATATATATATATATATATATATATATATATATATATATATATATATATATATACATATATATATATATATATATATATATATATACATATATATATATATATCATATATATACATATATATATATCATATATATACATATATATATTATATATATATATAATATATATATATATATATACATACATCATACACAAAAGCAACACCAGTCACTCCTATAGGATCAATCAAACAAAACACATAAGCCTACGCCTACAAGTAAAAGTGATCTTCTCTGCCGGTCGCCTCCACAATATTCAAATCATCTAAATAAAAAAACATTTAATCTGAGGTAATAAAAACGTAATTACCATGGTTAAAACGAATAATTAGTACTTTACTCACTTTGAGAAAGCAATCACAGAAAGATGGAAGAGGTCTTAGAGCTATCAAACAAATGCCAACACGACCTTACTATTCTCTTGACGACAACACTAGTGACAAGGCAGGTGAAACACGCCTATCCCTCCATGGTTTGACCTTGGAGGATCTAGGATCTCTTCCAATGCCACCGAAGGAGAGAACTAGGGTCAGCCCTTAAATCAATCTGTTTGACCTCTTCTCCTTCATATAAGTATACAGGAATTAGTTTTCTTTTCGTTGTCGGTTAAATTGCTGTCGAAATAGGACAGAAACTTTGTTTGTCGCACTGTTAATTCATAAAATAAGAGAGAGAAACTCACCGTGCTCCCCGGCAACTGCTCACGTCAGCTGGCCGATGTAAACACTAGCCCCAGCCTCCTCTCTG